ATCCTAAGACTCGAACTACGTTGGGCCTGAATTCTCCTTGTGAGATACGTAGGCATCCTTTCCCGGCCCGACCCCTATCACTGAAATTTTCATTCTCCTTTGTGTTTCGAAGATACGAAGACAAGATCAACCGGCATCGAAAAACAGCTGCAAGAAGACCATACCTCAACGTGATTCAGCCTTCCCGAGATGACGTCAAAACAAGCAAATTCCTGTTTGTTCAAAATATATTTCGTCCTTATTCGTGGGGTGAAGATATCCTCAAACAAAGCGACTTATGTGTTTATCTGCTTTTTGTGCGATATTATGCATTTTGTACTCAGAATATGCACTAATAAATTTGCCTTTGAGTTGTTTCACCTCTCAGGTACCTTTAACTTATCTGTGTCGATAAAAGATGGCAGATCACCCCTACTTCACCAGATCAAAAGGTCCCGCAGATTCCTTCCCCGGACCAGACGCTGACAAAAGAAACACAGCCATGGGAGACAACAATGATGAAGTTAGCCTTACTGATGTTGTGGTGGCTCAGCCCACCGTGGCAGAGCAGAATGAGCTAATTGCGCAACTGATGCAGCAGATAGCTGACATGAGGGTCGAGATGCAGCGAAGGCAAGACACACCTCCACCCGGATTCGGCCCCAACTTTATCGACGCAAGACCTCCTACGTACTTCCCTTCGTCCAACTTGGATCCTACTCAGAACCATCCATCGACGCCCGTGCATAACCCGTCCGGGAGAGTTATGACAACCCAAAACCCCCAGTACGCTTTAGTCTCCTATCAAACACCCTCACCGCTTCCAAACAACTCTCCACAAATACCACCACACCCCTAGAACCCTCAGACAGCCCCACCACTTCAAAATCAGAACAAATATCCAACCACCTTCAACACCCAGACACCACATCCCCACTTGACCAAAAATACCAATCCCCAAAACTATCCACAAAACTATCAAACGGCACAGAACGTCCCAAGCCTTTCCATAGCCCCACCTCTCCCAAAAAGAACCACATTCCAAGTCCCCGTCCCGACCGAGCATGAGGTGCACGGTTCCGAGTTGGAACATTACGAGGAGCAGGAGAGAGAGTGTAAGTCGAGGGAAGAAGCGAAGATAGACATAAAGGAGGAGATCAAAAGGTCAATGAAAGAATTGCAATGCATTCTAGACGTTGCCGGGTTAAGCTACACAGAACTGTGCATCCACCTAGACTTGAACCTCCTTGAAGGGTTCAAAATCCCGAAGTTTGATACCTTCGGAGGGGTGGGCAACCCCATGGCGCATTTAAGAGCGTATTGCGACCAACTCGTGAGAGTTGGCAAAGATAAAGCTTTGCTAATGAGGTTGTTCAGCTGGAGTCTGTGTTCGACGAGGCCCTGGAATGGTTCACGTCGCACGAAACTCGACAATGGCCCAGTTGGAGCGCACTGGCTAAATATTTCATTGATAGATTTGTGTACAAGGTCGAGATAGTCTCTGATCGGTACTCCTTGGAGAAAATGAAGCAGAAATCCACAGAAAGCTATCGGGAATTTGCGTACAGATGGAGGAAAGAGGCAGAGAGGTGAAGCCTCCGATGACAGAAAAGGAAATTGTAGAGGTGTTCGTACGGGTGCAGGAGCCCGAATATTACGACAGAATCATCTTATTTATCGGCGCCAAGTTCACCGCGATAGTCAAAGTGGGTGAGACTATCGAAGATGGCCTAAAGTCGGAGAAGATAGCCCGAGTGTCTGTGTCGCCTGGATCTTTCGGACTTGTGAGGAAGAAGAGAGAGGAGGTTGCCGCTATTTCGTACGAGGGAAAAAAGTCCCCAGAAACTCCTCGCATCCTCAAGACCGCTCCAAGCCTCCACCAAAGTCTCACCAAGCCTATCGTCCACAATCCAATCATTCCGGCAACTACCACGCTGCCCCCGCTTATCCAGATGCTCAAATTTTGTCATATCAAAATATACCCCCAAATCCCCAAAATTTTCCCTCCGTATACCCAAATTACCCCCAAGCTTATCAAATTCCTCCACCTTACCAGAATGTCGCTCCTAGCTGCGCTAATGTACAGCCAGGCTATTGAGCACCTTCCCTCGCATATCAAATCCAAACTCCAGCATATCAAAGCCCCCTCCCAAATTACCCAGCTCCAGTGCCAAACTACCAGACAAATCCCTACCCTAGAACCCAAGCTCCCCGCCCAAATAGTAGTAATTATCAACAAGTCTCTCTCCCTCAGCAGAGCAGGTATGATCCCTCTCGCCCTAAGTTTGAGAAGAAGCTCTCCAGAAACTTTACCGCGTTGGCTGAAAGCAGAACCAAGTTGTTCAAAAGATTATCCGCGGCCGGATACATCTTTCCTGTGGGGGACAAGCCCGTAGATGTCAACTCCAGATTCTATAAACCGGAGCAGAGATGTGCTTATCATTCCAACACTGTTGGACATGACACTTAAGACTGTATCAATCTTAAGCACAAGATCCAGGATTTGATCGACCAGGAAGTGGTCTCTCTCCAGCCTGCGGCGCCGAACGTCAATACCAATCCGTTGCCAAATCATGGGGGTGGGAACATCAACATGATAGAAACTGATGAAGATGAGCGTGAAACCAAGAGGATTACTCCTGTTGTGCAGGAAGAATTGGAAAAGGCTGTCGCTTCTTTGAGCGTCAGGGAAAACGAAGAGTTCGTTATTCTGACACCTGCGAAGGCGTTGCCTTGGTGCCCTCGAAGACTCTCACTAAACCCAAGTTTGTCATAGAAACGGCCGTGGCCCAAGGCATGACTAGATCTGACAGATGTTACACTCCTGATGAGCTTGCTCTCGGAGGACAAAAGAAAGATCATGCCAAGAGACCCATAAGTGAAGCAGAAGCCGAGGAGTTCTGGAGCAGAATACAGCCTAAAGATTACTCTATCGTCAAGCACTTGGAGAAGACTCCAGCCCAGATTTCTGTATTGGCCCTACTGATGAGCTCCTAGTCCCACAGACAGGCTTTGATGAAAGCTCTGGATGACACGTATGTGCCTTCAGGTACGAGCAGCGATAATGTATCTTCCATGATTCACCAAGTCATTCGGGGACACCGCATTAGCTTCTGCGATAATGAATTACCGGCCGAGGGGAGATCCCATAACAAAGCTCTACACGTCACTGTGATATGCCGCGGAAAGGTCGTCAATCGTGTTTTGGTAGACGATGGATCCGGTTTGAACATATGCCCCTTGTCAACATTGAAGCAGCTGAGGATTGACCTCGGAAAATTGGAGCAAAACCAGGTTAATGTAAGGGTGTTCGATGGTGTGCAAAGGGACACATTGGGGGCTGTGAACTTGACCATCCAAATGGGCCCCGCGGAGTTTGAGGCAAAGTTCCAAGTGTTTGATATCGACACCAGCTATAATCTTCTTTCGGGGAAGGCCATTCATTCACATGGCTGGAGCTGTCCCCTCCACTCTCCACCAAATGATGAAACTAGTATGGAAAAATGAAGAGCTAGTTATTCATGGTGAAAGAAACCACTCAGGCAAGCAGGTGCCGGTCTTTGACGAGACGCCGCAAGGTTCGAATTTTTATACGGTGGAGTTGGTAAATGCCACCGACGAGGGATTGTCCCCGCAGACTCCCATGCCTGCCGTGTACAGAATGATCGCCACGATAATGCTGTAGAATGGGTTCGAACCAGGTTTTGGATTAGGAAGAAATGACCAAGGGATCGTCGATCCAGTTCCAGTCCTTGCTACAAGATCAAAGTATGGTTTGGGGTACATCCCCATAGATGATGATGTGAAGATGAAGAGGAAAAAGGATCAAGAGTTGGCCAAACCGATCCCACATCTGTATCAATCCTTTCCAATCCGTGAGCATGCCGAGCCTGAAGACTGTGGGGAAGGAATATGTGACCTTTTCAAGGAGATCAATGCTATCATCGAGGTGGAGGTCGAGCCAGCTGGCATTCGTGATGCGGAACTAGGGGAGATGCTGCAGAATTGGACTTCCAAGCCAATCCTGATGTCCCGAACTCTTTGGTAGAAAGGAGTTATTTTATGCATATTAAAATCGGTGGTCGTCCGGAAGAGGCCCGAGACCCACAATTTCTACATTTTTCTTGGTTTTGAATTTTATTGTGATGTTTAAAAGGCGACATGGTCCTGTGACATGATTCAAGTTTGCATTTCGTTTGATTTAAATGAAAGCCTCCTTTTTTTGACTTTGTTTATTTAATTGCTTGTTATATTTTACTTTGCTAATTTTGTTTATTTATGATTTCAGTAACATAAGTTACATACCTGCCAATGTCATGTCATGTCATGAGCTAAATGAGCAAAATGAGACAAATAACGATGAGGTTGATGACTATGTAGAGAGTGGGGAAGCAGACTATGTTGCAGAAGAATTTCGACAGTTCGAGAATCAACATAAACCGAATCTGGAGGAGACGGAAACGGTGAATTTGGGGGATTCAGAATGTGCCAAAGAAGTTAAAATCAACACTTATCTGAACAAAACTCAGAAGGAGAGCCTGGTTCGTTTGCTTACCGAATACAGTGATGTGTTTGTTTGGGAAGTCGATGACATGCATGGGTTGAGTACTAATGTCGTATCTCATAAGCTACCTATCAACCCAGGGTTCGAACCGATGAAACAAAAGACTCGAAAATTCAAGCCTAAATTGAGTTTGAAGATAAAGGAAGAAATCACCAAGCAAATAGAGTCTCGATTGGTGGAAGTAACGCAATATCCAACCTGGTTGGCCAATGTTGTTCCGATCGCCAAGAAAGATGGGAAAATCAAGATTTGTGTTGACTATAAAGACCTCAACAAGGCTAGTCCGAAGGATAATTTTCCATTGCCTAATATCCATATTCTGATTGACATCTGTGCCAAACATGAGATGCAGTCATTTGTGGATTGTTACGCTGGTTATCACTAAATTTTGATGGATGAAGAAGACGCAGAGAAAACGGCCTTCAGCACACCTTAGGGGGTATATCACTACAGGGTAATGCCGTTCGGCCTCAAGAACGCCGGTGCTACCTACATGAGAGCCATGGCGACTATTTTCCATGACATGATTCACAAGGAAATTGAAATGTACGTGGACGATGTCATAATCAAATCCCGCGAGAGTTCGGATCATGTGACACACCTGAGAAAATTCTTTGAACGTTTGCGTCGGTACAACTTGAAGCTAAATCCCGCCAAATGTGCTTTTGGAGTCCCAGCTGGGAAGTTGTTGGGGTTTATAGTCAGCAGAAGAGGTATGGAGCTCGACCCTTCCAAGATTAAAGCAATTCAAGAGTTACCTCCGCCGAAAATGAGAAAAGAGGTGATGAGTTTCTTGGGGAGGTTAAACTATATCAGCCGGTTTATAGCACAATCGACAGTGGTATGTGAGCCTATCTTCAAGTTGCTGAAGAAAGACGCCTCGACTAAGTAGACTGAGGAGTGCCAAACCGCTTTTGACGCTATCAAGAGCTATTTGTCTAACCCACCAGTATTGGTTCCTCCACGAGAAGGGAGTCCTTTGTTGCTGTATTTGTCTGTTTCGGATAGTGCCTTTGGGTGTGTACTTGGCCAACACGACGAGACAGGAAAGAAGGAAAATTCTATTTACTACATAAGCAAGAAATTTACTCCATACGAGTCTCGGTATACTTTGCTGGAGAGAACGTGTTGTGCTGATGTGGCTTGCCTAGAAATTGAGACACTACTTGTCTTCATACACCACGTATCTCATTTCCAGAATGGATCCATTGAAGTACATTTTCCAAAAAGCGATGCCGACTGGAAAGTTAGCTAAATGAAAAATGATGTTCAGTGAGTTTGATATCGTGTACGTGACTTAGAAGGCAATAAAGGCACAAGCTTTGGCTGATCATCTTGCAGAAAATCCCATTGACGAAGAATATGAACCTCTCAAGACATATTTTCACGACGAAGAAGTGTCATTCATGGGTGAAGATATTTCTGAAGTGTATCCAGGTTGGAGATTATTCCTTGATGGAGCGGCAAATCACCAGGGTAAAGGTGTTGGGGCAGTCTTGGTATCAGAATCTGGTCAGCACTATCCTATTGCGGCTAAACTGCGATTCAACTACACAAACAACATGGCTGAATACGAAGCTTGTATTCTTGGTATAAAAATGGCCGTTGACATGAATGTTTACGAGTTACTGGTTATTGGAGATTCAGACCTTCTGATTCATCAGGTTCAAGGTGAATGGGCTGTGAAGAGCCCGAAAATTATATCTTACGTACAGTGTGTGCAAAATTTGTGTAAAAAGTTTCGCAAGATCGAGTTCAGACATACTCCCAAAATACAGAATGAATTAGTTGATGCTCTTGACACAATCGCTTCGATGATCAAACATCCGGATACTGATTACATCGACCCGTTGGATATAGAGTTGAAGGAACATCCAGTTCATTGTTCACATGTTGAATCAGAACCAGACGGTTTGCCTTGGTATTTTGACATAAAGAGATACTTGGAATCTGGGACATATCCAGAAGAAGCTACATCTAATCAGAAGAAATCGATACGTCGTATGGCTCTTAATTTTTTTCTGAATGGAGAAGTCCTGTATAGGAGGACTCTAGATTTGGGTCTTTTAAGATGCGTGGATGCTGTTGAAGCTGTGAGGCTTATTGAAACAATACATGCTGGAGTTTGCGGTACACACATGAATGGGCTTACTTTGGCAAGAAAGGTTCTTCGAGTCGGTTATTTCTGGATGACTATGGAGAATGACTGTTGCAAATTCGTGCAAAAATGCCACAAGTGTCAAGTGCACGGCGATTTGATACGGGTGCCACCTCACGAACTTAACGCTATGAGTTCACCTTGGCCATTTGTAGCTTGGGGAATGGATGTCATCAATCCTATAGAGCCGTCCGCTTCTAATGGACACAGATTCATTTTGGTTGCCATCGATTATTTTACCAAGTGGGTCGAAGCAGCCTCTTACAAGTCGGTGACCAAGAAAGTGGTGGCCGATTTTGTCCTCAACAATTTGATATGCAGATTTGGAATTCCAGAATTCATCATTACTGATAACGGTGAAAATCTCAATAGTCACATGATGAAAGAGATATGTGAACAATTTAAGATTATTCATCGAAGGTCAACTGCTTATAGCCTTCAAATGAACGGAGCTGTAGAGGCCGCCAACAAGAATATCAAAAAGATTTTGAGAAAGATGATTGACAAATAGCGAGGTTGGCATGAAATGTTGCCATACGCTCTACTAGGTTATCGAACGACGATCAAGACATCGACTGGGGCTACTCCATACTTGCTAGTACATGGAACACAAGCAGTCGTACCTGTTGAAGTCGAGATACCGTCATTGAGGATCATCCAAGAAGCTGAATTAAGTAACGTCGAATGGGTTAGTAAACGGATTGATCAACTAGCTTTGTTTGATGAAAAGAGAATGGTCGCCGTCTGCCATGGCCAGTTGTATAGATAGAGAACGACTCGCGCTTTTCATAAAAGAGTAAGAGCCAGAAATTTTGAAGTTGGTCAGTTGGTTCTTAAGCGTATTTTTCCTCATCAAGACTAGTACAAAGGAAAGTTCGCGCCAAACTGGCAGGGTCCTTACATGGTTCGTAAAGTATTATCTGGAGGTGCTTCGGTCCTGTCAGAGATGGATGGTGCTGTATGGCCCAAGCCTATCAACTCAGATGCTGTCAAGAGATACTATGCGTGAAGTTTCATTTTTTTTGCATTTTTCTGTTATTTACTTGTAATCGTTCTGTTTGCTTGTATTTGTTCACATTTGAATTATTATCCCTCTTGTAATGAACTACGTCTGACCTGAATTCTCGAGAACGAGATACGTAGGCGGCCTTTGTCGGCTTCAGTCACCCCATTTATCCCCTTAATTATTTCTTCGTATCTGAACTACGTTCGACCTGAATTCTCAAGAATGAGATACGTAGGCGGCCTTTGTCGTCCTCGGTCGGTTTCTTTTTAAATTTTATTTTATTAACCTTTAAGGGAAACTACGTTTGACCTGATTCCTGCCTCAACAGGATACGTAGGCGCCACAAGGGCTCGATCATATCTCTTGTAAGATTTCTATTCCCCTTTACTATAGAACAGGGACAGAATTTTTGAAAGGGACTCAAAAATTCTCCAGAAGGAACCTCCTCTTCAGCAGATCAAACTAAAGACATTTCGAGATTTGTGACTGGGACAGAATTTTTGAGAAGATCTAAAAAATTTCGCGATCTGTTCAGTTACAGTGGAAAGATAAGCAGGACAGTAAACTGGGACAGAAATTTTGAGGATGGCCTCAAAATTTCGTTATGGGTCTTCCCTACAAGTCCAGAGTGCCTCTGAAACTCATCAGCGAGTGTTGTATTCAAGGGAGCTCGTTAAGGTTGACATGACATGACTTGGCAGTGACTTTTTCAAAATACTAATTTCTTAAAAATTTCTCGTTTCCCTTAAAATTTCCCTTTTGTGTTTCATCTGTTTTGGCATAAGATATTTTCTTATCAATCAAGAGTCGGGAGATCGAGAAATCAACCAGAGATATCAAGACAAGGAGCAAACACCGAAGGAATCGACACAGATTAGTATGTTTAAAACTGACAATTTTTCTGTGGATGCAGATTTATAACTTTGCTTTAAAATCGGCCGAATTCTCCCGATGGGCGAATACGGATAGCTCCCAAAGATGAGAAAACTATCTCCAAAACCAGTGATTTTACTGAGAGCGGGAGGCTGTTCATCTCATTTGTGTCAGGATGCTTGAGAATGTGGATGTTTATTTCAAGTCATTCCCAACAATGTGAAATTTACAAAGGTGTCTAGCCAGATTCAAAGGTGAATCAAACAAGAATCTCAACGAGGATTTCACGATTTCTGTAGAGGATGCTGTTTGCATTGTGTCATCAAAGCAAGATAATTATTGTCGATCAAGACAATGCATTACCTTAGAAGAGATAGTTATGCTATTATTATTTTATCATTATTGATCAAGTCGATATATTATTTGGAGATCATCTTGCCGTTATTATCCACGGAGGCGATATAAGTATTCATGCATCGCGGAATTCCTACACTGAAGAATCATGCATCACGAAAAATCATGCATTGCGAGTCAACAATTATGTATGACAAGAAGATTTCATGCCTCGTCAAAATTTATACATCGCGAGAAGATTTCATACCTCGCCGAAATTTAGACATCGCGAGGAGAATTTATACCTCACTGGAATTTGTGCATTACGAGAAGAATCCATGCCTCGTTGAAAATCATGCATCGTGGAAAAGTCATGCATTGCAGAAAATCATGCATTGCGAATCAATAATTATGCACGACGAGAAGATTTCATGCCTCGTCAAAATTTATACAGCGCGAGAAGATTTCATACCTCGCTGAAATTTAGATATCGCGAGAAGAATTTATACCTCGCTGGAATTTATACATCGCGAGAAGATTTCATACCTCGCCGAAATTTAGGCATCACGAGGAGAATTTATACCTCGCTGGAATTTGTGCATCACGAGAAGAATCCATGCCTCGTTGAAAATCATGCATCGCGAAAAATTCATGCATTGCGGAAAATCATGCATTGCGAATCAACAATTATGCACGACGAGAAGATTTCATGCCTTGTCAAAATTTATATATCGCAAGAAGATTTCATACCTTGCTGAAATTTAGACATCGCGAGAAGAATTTATACCTCGCTGGAATTTGTGCATCGTGAGAAGATTTCATACCTCGCCGAAATTTAGACATCGCGAGGAGAATTTATACCATGCTGGAATTTGTGCATCACGAGAAGAATCCATGCCTCGTTGAAAATCATGCATCGCGGAAAAGTCATGCGTTGCGGAAAATCATGCATTGCGAGTCAATAATTATGCACGACGAGAAGATTTCATGCCTCGTCAAAATTTATACATCTCGAGAAGATTTCATACCTCGATGAAATTTAGACATCGAGAGAAGAATTTATACCTCGCTGGAATTTGTACATCACGAGAAGGATCCATGCCTCGTTGAAATTTGAACATTGCGAGAAGATTTCATGCCTCGCGGGAATTCACGTATCGCGGGAAGATATTCATGCCCCGCAAGAGGACATACACGGATAAAGAAAGAGCAACACTTATCCATGGGCCTCGATTGCATTCTGCTATTTCTTATAAGAGTAAACATCAAAAGAGCATCGAAGATAACGACAAAAGAAACATCAATATTGCATCATCATTTATTTATTTATTTCGACTTCAGATATAGAATACATTGAAGAGTATATCGCAAAACACAAGGCACAAGCTTTATTTGCTGGACGTCAGACCGATCGAGTTGACGACGAATATCGAGGAGAACAACGAAGTGTCAACGTGGTAAAAAGACACTGTCTCCCAACCTAATTGCATTTTTTAAGCTGCCGAGTTTTATCTCAGTCTTTGTCGAGAGCATCCAAAAGGATGAATACTTCAAAAAAACCACAGGTGCGGATGACATCAAAGGATGCAGCACAATGTGGAACTTTTTCTTAGCAGCGAACTGGGATAAGTCCTAAGAGGAGCGCCAAAATCTTAGGACGCGAGCAGAGGAGCGACTTCCACCACAATAGAACCACCCCTCTCGAAGCATGCGGGTTTTTCTTTAAGTTCTGTCAGTTTTAGTCTTGCATCCGGATGTTTCGATTTATCGCAAGCAAGTTTCCAATTTGAGTGACAATACGTCAAGAGCTTTGGAAATTATGTCAGTGTAAGTTCTTAATTATGGGTGTGAAGCGCGCCACATTCATGGCTAAGAGGTTACAAGCTTCCTTTTCATACTCGTTTAACTTGTCACTTTTCCAAAACCGAAGGTTATCTAGCATAATAGGTTTCCTTTTCCATCGATTGAGTCGAACTACACACAGCCTGATTCCGAAGGTTTAAGGATATGTAGGCAGATTCAATGTTGAAACTCGGCTATATTCCAATATTCGCTCTCGAATTCTATTCTCGAGCATTTTGATACCTTCATAATTCGGTGTCGAGGTGGCTTTTGATTCTTTCAAAATCATGCGGTAAATCAAGCTTATCGAACTACAAGTGGCCTGAATTCTCATATAGCCTGAGATATGTAGGAAACCCGTTCAAAGGGTCCAGTCATAATTCTGAAGTCCTTTGTCGAATCCTTCCTTTACAAAATGAACGGGGTTGGTCAAAATTGGTTCGGTCAATTTCATTTTCCTCGAGTTGCTTGCGTCAACTCAAGTAAAATGAGGGACAGTTGTTGACACCCAATTTTTGACCCGCGTCGGTATAAATTAATTATCGAGCTTCCTAAATTTTCCAAATAATTTAAATTAATTAGTTTTATAAATTTTACGAATACAATAATACAATACATGAATTTTATGTTACTTCGAATACTTTTGTCATAATTTTAGGGTAATATACATATTTACATAATTATGTATATAATTCGTATATCTCATGATTATTCAAAAACCATCAAAAATATACATTTTAAATGTTTTATTAAACTAGTTTAATTTAAATTATAATTATGCTTTTGAATTACTTTTTGCTATTTTATAATTTATATTACTAAATAAAGAAGCTCGTTAATTAATATAAATTCATTTTATTTAAAGTCTAGCCAATTTTTAATTTTTATTTTTTGGCCATCTTTAAATTCAACCCCTTTCTCCCTTCAAAAATCAAGTTTGGGCCCCTTCCTTTATTATAATTAGCCCATTTCTAATCTTTTGCCTAAAAACCAATTTCGGGCCCCTTCCTTTATTATTATTAGCCCATTTCTAATCTATTGCCTACCCAACCCACTTCAACTCTTTTATTCTCAGGCCCAAATGTCCATCCCATATCTAAACCTGATCCCAGGCCCAATTCCCCCTTATTCCCAGCCCACCTATCTTCGACCCAATCTGTTAATCTACCCCCTCTTCTATCCTAACTTCAGGCGGCCCAACCCTCTTTCAATTTTCAAACCCAACACGTCAGCCCAACACTTTCCCTCAAACCCAATTCCTTCTTCTAAAACCCAACCCGGTCACCCAACCCTTTTAATTTGTAACCCGGTCCAATCTTATAACCCGACCCGACCTCCCCTTTCTTCCTCCCCCAAATCCCCACACACCAGACGCGCCCCTCTCCCCTCTTTCCTTCTTCCCCTTTCCTTCGTCCAAAATTCCCAAAACAGAAGCGCAGAAAAAAGCAAACACACCC